AGTTGTTTTAGATTTAGCATATTTTCTTGACTCTGAGTGTCAAAGACCATGCATGGAATTTCAGACAAAGCCACACACTCACATATTCCGGCCTGTATGGAGCGTGACTATTTATCCTCTTATTATAAATACAATATCATATTTTATATGTTCTTTATGTGTGTGTATACAAAATATTTGCTCATGTGCGTTTTATGTAATAAAAAAAACAGTGTAGTTTTTTTTTTTTTTTGCAGTGATCATTTTCTGGCTTCATAAAAACTGCAGAATTCATACTTCATTTCTTTATACTTGAACTTTTTTTTTTTTTTAAAGTTGATCCCAAGACTGATTTTTGAGGATTCCCACTAGTAAACTTCTTGCAGTTTGATGCTGCTTCTTTCAATACCACTTGTTGCCATCTATCCATTACGCAATCTCTTCTTACCCACTTTACAACTCTTCTCCTAATCCCCGGTTTCCTATGTGATGCTGTATCATATGCAGTACAGATATAAATAAGATGCATCACAAATCCTTTGTCTAGAAATCAGTTATCTCATTAAAGAGAGATAACAAATTTACTTGGCACAATCTATCTTTAGTAAATCCTTTTTGCATGCTATTCCATTTACCACCCTGCCTTCACCCTGCCATTCATTTTTCCCTCAACATTTTTTCTAAAGCAAGTGATGTCAAACTAAAGGGTTTGTAACTGCATAGGCCTCTCCCTCAGAAACAGATAATGCATTTGCTGTTATCCAGTCAGCCATGTCTGGGCTCCTTCCAATTGGAGTTTTATGTTCTCTCTCTTGCGATTGTGGGATAGGGTTCACTTGATATCTCTCCCCAGTCTAAATGCAGTGTGCTTTTAGCTTTGTTTCCAGTTTCCTAACTTCTATAATCTTGACTTCATTCCTATTTTTTATCCCGTTACCTCTGTGGTCATTATTACTGAAAACATATGGTAAGTAGTCATCGAGTTTCTTATTTTAAATAGATATTTATTTATTTTCACTGAATCCTCTTTTTATAGATGTCCCATGTTTTATTTGTTCTCATATTGCTTAACTGTGAGAAGACTGTTCTGCCTTTTAATATCGATGCTAAATTGCAGTTCAGTTTGACTACTGACAGTTTTCACTGTACTTTCTACTTCTGACCTCTAGAACACATCTGTGTCTGCTGATATGTCTTTTCTCTAATATTCTTCTTGAGGAAGTTCTTCATTTGTGTGGAATTTCTTGACCACGTTCTCACAAATTTCTCCATTCCTTCAGATACACATTCCATGCAGCTTTATTAACTTAAACGTAAAATAATTCTAAGACTTCTCCTCATTGAAAACCTTAAATAGATCAGCCTATTTTATTACACTTACATAACTTTTTAGGTTACCAAAATCTGCCCTCTGAAATATAAAGCCTTGTTTTTACTGATTATTCCATTTCATTTTAATGAGTGAACTCACAAGTTTTCAGACCAGTTTCCTCACAGTAAATGTATTGTTTATTAGAACAAAGACAGGAATAGTTCCATCTTTCCCTGGCTTTTGACTTCTTGGTAAACACATTCATTAATTTGGCCCAAAAAGATTCTGTTAGATGCATCCCTTTCTTTTTTACTTCATTTTAATCTGCCACATTATTAGAAGGCAAGGTTACCTGTTTTAATCACATATTCCCTGAATAACACGTACTCTTCATTACCTTGCTCCTACTATATAATACTTGTCTCTTCTTTCCTGATTATCCAATGGTAATTCCTTTAGCATAGCTGAATTTTTGTAGACCAGATTTTCTTCTTGTTCTGTACAGTGAGAAGACATGAGGATTACATGAATGCCTACCAAGATTTCCTTGTAGTCCTTAAGATTTGTTTTGCTTTAATAATATGTCAATCCCACTTTTTCCATGGTTATTCAGTGAGATACAGTTCCCATTAGTTTTGCTTTTTAGTCATTTTTCCCCTACCTAAAATGAAATTATTTACTATAATTATATTTGATTTAGTCCAGTGGAAATTTCCTTGCATCCCTTTCCCACTGTGAATAAATATATATGTGCATATTTATTTATTTATTTATATATATAGAAAAGGATTTGCCAGTATTTATTGATTCTCTTTAAAAGACTCAATGCATGTAGGCATTAATTTTTCTCTTCTTAATTTACTTTACCCTCTGATCACAAATTATCCTGCCTTTTGTTCTTTTTTTCTCACAAACTACCATTCTTACTCATCTTTGGATTCTAGTCTCTTTGCTAGAATTAACTTTTTCACTTTTTTTCTATCTTCTGTTTTGGTTTTGTCTGTTGTGTTTTTCCAGTCTCCCAGATGGCAAGCATATTTTTTAACTTTTCTCTATCTCCCTGTTGTTCGGCTTGTTCTTTTTCTCTCACAAGTCCTCTCACTCAGCAACGGTCTGTAAATCCCCGGTTGCCCCATTCAGTTTGCTTTCTCTTACACCTTTTTCCCAAATCCACATCTTCATTCAACATTGCCTCCAGCCACATCTCTCTTAAGGTCTTCTCTTTGTGAATTTTAGCAGATGACACTTCAGGCATACAAATCTTTCCAGAGAATAAGACACATCCCACAGTTTCCACAACCATTTTGTATTGTCCATATTGTCATATACCAACCACAAATGTTTTGATTCCTTACATAGTCATTTCCTCTTACTATACTTTTAAGGTGAAAGTCCCTCTCATTGTTGGTTATTTCTTTCTGTTTGTGGGCGTATTGGTTTTTGGGACTGAATTGTTATGTCATTATCAGCTTAGCATTCTGAAATGCTGACAAGTGTATCGGGGTATAAAGAGAAACAGGAGCAAATTTGGTTCACAGTCCACATATTTCAAAGCCCTCCATCAGGATTCAGCTTTCCACAGCTACCATATACAAGTTTGACAATAACATTTGGCTTCTCAGTGCTCTGCAGAAGTCAAATTAATCTGTTATTACCTGATGAGCAGTCATTTGGAAAAAAATGAGAAAATAAGACATATAATTTGTGGTCCAACATACAAGAAAGATACGATTGAAGAACACGTGAAGTTCTAGAGAGTGCACAGAGAGGGATGGGGTTTCACATAGGTTCAGTATTACCCAGGTAAATATTCGGAGGTACAGTGTAGCTCAAGGATTCTCCCATCCTAACACTAAAACAATTACACTTCCAAACCTTGTCCAGTAAATGAGCACATTTCTTAGGGGAAGAACTTGTTTATGGGGCTCAGGCAGACACCAATAACTGTGTCACATCACATTTATTACAAAATCCAAATATATTCTCCTCTACTTTGTCCAATATCTATGTGATCATTTATCTGCAGCAAATTTTACTGTAAATGTGATTATTTCCAAGAAGCAATTTCTCATGACTAGATTAAGTATAGTACTTACCATATATTCTGTTCAGGCAGAGGCATCATTTTGGAATCTGCATTATAAGTAAATGTTTCTCCTGCAGAGAAAACTCCATAGGCTTTACTTTAGAAACACAGCAATGGAAACACAACAAATGTTTGTTGGACTGAGCTCAATCTGCAAATGAGCTGGAGACAGAGTTTAGCCTTTGTTGTCTTTACAGTTTCAGGTTATTGATCTCTGAACAAGCAGTATTTTGCAGAAGACAAGATTCCTACAAGCCAGATTTCAGCTGAGCTGTTTTAACTGCCAATACAGGATAATGTGCCCCACCAAATCTCACCAGATACTATTTCTCAATGAGCAGGTATCATATTTCTTATTTTCGACTGCTGACTGAGGGAATGTGTGACCAGCTGTTCTACTTTGCTTTCCTAACTTTTGTGATAATTTTCAAGTAGTATGACTACATGTGGAGGATCACAAAAGTCTATGTTACAGAATCATCAAGGTTGGAAAAGTTCATTAAGTTCATCATGTCCAACCTGTCCCCACCATGCTCCTCTGTGCTACATCTCCACAGTTCTTGATTGCCTCCAGGGATTAGAACATACCCTAGAACAGAAAACAAGCTACTTCAGTTTCTGAAATAAGCAAAAAGGAGCAGGTAATCTACACATTTTGTCCATTACAAAATAGTGTAAAAATAAGTTATTGAAGTACTCTAAACAAAAGAAACAAAGTTTAGATCAGCTTCCTCTTGGATTGGATGCAGGTTCAAGAGGGTTGAACATATTGTCATATTTGTCTAATCAGCTTAAGCACTGCATTTAAATCAAATCAGGAATGTGCAACAGGTAATATTTATAATATTTATGCTAATAAGGGAGAAATTCTGAAGTGTTTGAATGCAAATTTTTTGTCTCTCTTTTGTCTTGACTGATTTTAGATAATGTTGAAGCATTGGCTGGAGCACAACCCACCTTCTGCATCCTGCACAGAAATAGTTTCAGTGCTGCCTGCCTGTATTTTAAAGACACTTGCACATTCACAAATAATAAATCTGTCAAGGGACACTTGCAAATATCCCATCTCAATTTGTGCAAGTTACTCCATTCAAAATATTTCCATGCTTAAAATCATTTAGCAGGTTTTACCAGATTTATAAGCATTTGAGACTTGCAGTATAAAACCCGCACTGCGTGACAGACTGAGTTATTAAGTGTTTATAGAAATCTGATCAAATGGACCATCAGAAGTTGGGGGGAGGAGAGGGGGAAAATCTGTTACCAACTCGGCCATAATGACAGCTTTTCTCATCTCGCAGCAGTGACATGAAGAGGGAGCTGTAGCTCTTCCGAGGTACAGCTCTGCCTCTGCTGCGTACCCAGATGAGCGTCTGCTCTCCTCTGTTCTTCCCTGCTCTCCTTCGCTCCCTCTCTCCTTCCTTCATTCACTTACTTTTCCTCCCCCCAACCCCCCCTTCTTTTTTTTTAATCTCTGTGCCCCTGTGCCAGTTAATTTAAATGTATCTGTTCAAGTGGAGATAATCCATGCAAATCAGAGCACTGGCTCCCAGTGCTTGATTCACAAAGAGAACTCAGCTTCAGGAGGTCACTCGTTCACAGCTGCTCCTCCCATTATATTTTTCCCTTATTGCAGAACTGCTGCATGTATACAGTGACCGAAAGGACTCAATTTACTGCAACTGCTGCCTGGTTTTACTTACAACTTTCTTTAAAGGGGGACTTACCTTCTATCACTCTTAATAAGGTAGGAAGTCTGCTTCTTCTAAAGACGTGTAATGCCTCCAGTGTTTGCTCATTATCAGATCCCACTATAATGACGTGTATTGTTGCCAGAATTAGTTCCTAATAGAATTGTGCCAGGTGTCTAATGCTTTTGTTACATGTATGTATAGGTGCAACTGATTGAACGGCTGTTTTTCTGTTTGTATAGCCCGCTATATATCCCCTCCCTTCCCTTGCGTTTTCAGGGCTGTTCATTAGTATTTTCTTTTCCTTTCCATAATGGCAGGTATGATCTTAGTACAGCAGCTTTCTAATCTGCAAATGTGATCTTCATGCAAGTTTGTGTTTTCTTTTAAAAACATTTTCTAACGCGCATGTAAGTTTATGCAGTGCTTAGTAGCCCCCAGAGGAAAACAGCATCACCAGAGCTTTCTGTCCTGAACACTTATTAAAGGGCTGTCTTTGGAGCAGAACTAATTCTTGAAAGGTTTTTAACAAAAATAAAAAGGTCACTTTTTACTTTGCTAAGTTGTAAACAAGGAAACTCCAGGCCAGACTGCAAATGGGCCTGTCGTAAATTTATCCCACAAGATAAACATATTGTTAATAGGACTGCCAGCAAAAGTAGTGGAATTGAACCCTCATGGTTCTGTGTTAATATCTATTGTTTAGAGAGGTTGGAGAGGCAGAGCTCGCTTTTGCAAAGTGCAACTCAAGACCAACTGTTTGGATATGATTCTTAAAAACCTCCTTAAGAAAAGGAAAGTCAGGCACTACTTCATTAGTTACTTTCTAACTTTCAGCATCTACCACACTAAATACTGATGTAATGTATCTGACAGCACTGGTGTTATGAAAGCAAATAGTAACTCTTACATTTATTTATATTTCTTTGAATTGGCTGTCAGAATTTGGGGATGGAAATGATTAAAATAACTATAAAAACAACTTCAAATGTGATAAATTCCAAATAATGGATTTGAAGAGAAATATAGTGAAAAAAGATCAGAATTATTCTGATTTACACTTATCCCACAGTAAAGTTCGTGTTTATTTTCTCACACAGCTGGAGTTGAGAAATGACAATGATTAGATCTAGAGCTTTTTTATAGACCTACTCCTTAACACATCCAAGTTAATCAAGTAACAGCTCTCTGAATCTTTAGATAGAAATTAAAAAGAAAATTTAGAGACCAGACAGGACAGAAAGAGAAACATAAATATCCTCAAACATACCTTAATTTCTTCAAGAACACTTGAGGCATGAGTTTATCTTTCAGGATTAGACATTTTTAGCTAGCTTGCTTCAGGAGAGAGTACTTGTACCCTGTACAAAGTATTTCAGTGCCCCCAATGAGCATCTTTTTTCTTTGATATACAGTCTGCTCTTTGAAAAAAAATGCATTCTGATTTTGGAGTACAGTACAAACCTAGAGAGCCTTGTCATTGTTAGCATAAAGAAGACATCTACACAAGCATTGCTGTGCAGAGGGCAATCTTTCTTTCTCTGGCATTTGTTAGGTTACTGTACATAGAATTTAGCAGATAAACATCTCTTGCTTCATGGCATTTTGGAGATCCTATTGGTATGCAGGTTACCCTGTGAGGATGGCAAATGAAAAAAGAAATATGTTTTATAGCAGTGTGTAATAAAAGCCCTTCACAATGATGTAAGTGGATTCTGACCTTTCTTTCTTATCCTGTAACTAGAATTTGTATTAACTCTTTCAAGTGCAGAGTATTTTAAGTAAACTGATGTTACTTAGAGAGAACAAGTATGTGTTTTTCATATAGGAGTTTAAAAAGTAACCTTTTAGAATCCTTTTTAGACAGAGAATAATATATATATTCTTGCTAGAAATGTGCTCCACACAAAGAAATTTGGATTTATAGGAAAAGGAATATTTCATGCATCCTGCCTCTCCCCAGGAAAAAAAAAAAATCTAAAGGAGACTTCTTTAGTTTTTGGAAAGAGGAGCAAAATACATTTTAGAGAAGAGAGCTGAACTTAAGGAAAACCAGTCAGGATTTTTTGTTTGACTAAACCTCTGGCCCGGATAAAGTTGGGAAGTAAAGATGATCCCTGTGGAGTTTTGTGATATACAGCGAGGAAATTAGATGACTCACCACTGGAGATTTGAAAAGAGAGAAAAAGATTTTTCTGAGAAAGATTTTTTTGTAAATGGAATAAAATATTATACCGGCACACAGTTATTTCCAGCTTCCTTTCCACCTTTTACCCAATGACCAATGAATAACAGGGATGAAAGTGTTCCTTCATGAGTCATCATCAGCATTTCATACAGTTATTTCAGAATGATGTACTTGATTCTCCTAGTAGGTTCACCAGGTTCACCTGGCATACCTCAGTTTAATTCCTTGATCACTGAGTAACTGAGATGGAGTCAGGTGGTTTACATTATTTGAGGCTCTGACTGGATTTTCAGGGAACTCTCAAGGGAGTGAACCTTTATGTTTCATTTTAGGCTAGTTGGTACAGTTTTCTATAGACAATGTCAGTATCCTCTTAGGGTCAGTACCTTTTTTCCTACTGGTGTTTCTTCTTCTGTATTTTTGCCATTGCTGCAGTAACTCAGACAAACATCTCCAAAACAAGTTACCCTACACTCCACCATAGTGTGTCTTGCAGAAGTCTATAGGATGTGGTAACCTCTGTGGCTGTACACACTGCAGGTATCATACTCACCTCAGGTTCTTTTCTGATGGTTTTAGAGAAGACGCGTAAAAAAATAAATTACCATTTTAAAGGATGCTATAGAGCTTCTTAACAAGTTCCATCCTACTTCTTAAAGGTCTTAGTTGCTATCTGTTTTAAGCAAGTACATTTGCGGAACTATACCTTAAAAATGTTCCAGAGAATGAAGAAAATTTGAAAATCCTAAAAAATGAGTGATAAAGCCTTCGAGAAAATGTACAGCTATAAATGGGAAATCTAATTGTCAACAAAATCCTCAGTCAATGCTTTTTTATTGTTGCTTTTTTTTTCTATAACTGCAGAGAAATAATACATTCCCCACAGCTTCTCATCAAATCCCATACACAATTATATCATATTGTCCTTTTTTATCATTGCCTTGTACTGTAGAGCACATTGTTAAAATATAACATTGCAGAGTACAGATCTTGCGTTTCTTTCACAGATAAAGCGTGCTTATACCTCTGGGGGTTAAAAGCTGAATCAGATCCATAGCTCACCTACTGACAGCCTTTCAAGTTGTTCCTTATTTATTTATTTATTTGTTTATTTTGGTCTGAAGCTTTGGATTGACATCCTTTTATATGTTTGGAATTCTTCAGCAGATGTAAAGTGCTTGGTAATGACTGAAATTACCTCAGGCTTTATATATTGTCTTCCCCAGGAACTTCACTGAAGTTTCAGTAACTTTTGAGGGTTTTATGCTAACGACTATTCTCACGAGAACACTTCATTTTTTTGGTCCTATCATACTGCCTTTATCAGTTCTTAGAGGTGCTTTAAGCCACTTTGGAACCTTTTTGCTTCCCCCTTCCCCCAGTACCTGTTCTGGGGAGTCTACATGAAAATTTTCACATCTGAAATGCACCAAAAGAGGGGCAGATAAAAAGAAAATAAGTGGAGTGGAAATGAATCTTTAAATGGCAAGTCTGTGAAACATTGAACATGGTTATCTGACGTTATGTCAGAGAGTGTTATCTCTTGAGAAGAAATGAGCAAGAGCAGTCCACACAGGAAAAGTAATTGTTGCTTTACTTCTGTCTGTTTATTTGGGATAGCTTGAACTGTCTCCCACTTTTTTATTTCTCTCAGTGTGAAAAGATAACTATAAGAAACACAGCCAGTAGGCATTTGACTCAAAAGCTATGTTCATTTGACCTTTGGACATAAAATATCTAATGCAAATGAAAATCTAAACAACGTCAAACATCGCTGAGTACAAGAAATATGCAGAATGTGGGGCAGCAGAAATTCAGCACTTTCAAAACTAACAAAACATTTGAAATCACTTGGCTACATTAATATTTCTTTCTCCATTCTGCACTGCAGTATCAGGTGTTGAGGTTTTGTCCAGTGTATGTGAGGGAAAAGATCTGTGGTGAAATTCTGCATTAGTTTTACCAACTGAGACTGAAATGTTAGGGAGAGGAATAAAGGGAAAAAGGAGGGTAGGGGATGTTTACCCAATCCGTAAATATTTCTGCAATGTTCAGTTTGATATCTCTACAAAGAGTATATGGGAATTAAGATGTATATAAAGTCCACATGATGCTGCCATGCATTTATTTAAAGGTTATGTTTATCATATAGAGGACTTCCTCCTTCTTTCTTAATTCTGCTAGTTTGGCTGGTTATTCTTTTTTTTACTTTCTGTTTTTTTAACCTTAGCAAGAATGTTTCATGAAAATGCATGGATGTGAATAGATGAAGCTGGATTCCTGCGTAGCCCGTCATTCTTCCACACTTCTCTTTCTACCAAGTTATGAAGGAGAAAGGCAGTGGAAACAAAATGCATCTTATGTGAGGTAAAGGACTGGAAAAGGGATGCATTGTCTGCCTCTGGAGAAATAAATCCAGTTGCAACAGGCCACTGGAGGCAGGACATAGATATCTGAGTTGCCTCTACAGAAAAGCCTGTGACTTAGAATCTGTGTGTTAGGGAAAAGAGTGAAACACTTATTCAAGACAAGTAAAAGAACCCATGCAGTTACTGTTACCTAGTCTTTGGATTAGATCTAAGTCCATAGAACAATAATAGTATAATGTTAACTGACAACCTAAAATTAAACAAAGGAAAGAGATTTCAAATTTGCTCCATTGAACTTGAGAGTATATATACATAATTCCCATCACCTTTCCAGCTGAGAGAACAATGGTTCATTTGGAGGCTCTGGGGGAGAGGTACTCAGTTTTTTCTGGCTAAAATTCATTTTCTACGTTGAGTCCAAACTGCAGAAAAAGGCAGCTGAGTGAGTAGGCAGCATGGAAGGGACCCCATGTGTAAGTGACATTGTTCCATATTTTCT